TTCCCTAATTATTGTTAGCTCTTGATTATAAATAAATCAGTTTGTGTGTGAATCAACACACAATTCCAGTATTCCTATATGGTATTGAAGCTTATCTTTACTTGGAGTATGATCATGGACAAAATGGTGCTACCAAAGACACTTAGAGGTCTTGATGAGGGTATAAAATAGAGTAAAGAATTTGATTGTTGAGGACAGATGAAAGCATGTGGTTGATGAGATAACATACTGTAAGAAGTGCATCACACTAGAAATAGAGAGGAACATTGTAGTGAAGGAGAAGGGTACGAGTTGTTTTAACTAAATGATGTTTTTTTTCATTCAGCAACTTCATTTTCTTGTGATATGAGACCTAATTTGGTTGATTTAACTCCCCCTTGAGGCTGATTACTTTGTTTTTTCCCTTCACTCTCCATTTGGCCCATGCATTTATTTGGTGATTTATGTTGATGGCATTATCATCATGAGTGATGACTATGATGGTATCAAACAACTTAAGGCTCAGCTACACGGTCAATTTCAGACGAACGAACTGGAACCACATAAATATTTGTTGGGCATTGAGGTTGGTAAATTCACCTTTGGCATTGCCATTTCTCAAAGGAAATAAACTTTGGATATTCTCAGTGAGATTGGTATGCTTGATTGCCATCCCAATGAGACTTTTATGACTCTCAACGTCAAGTTCCTTCAGAATAGGGGGAGGCACTAGAATACTCGGGAAGATATTTCAAACTTATTGGTAGGCTCAATTACCTCACTGCTAGCAGACGCAGCATCACTTTTGCAGACAATGTGGTAAGTTAATTCCTTGATGTTCCTTGGAATAGCCTTTGTCATGCGCATCATCATATATCAAGAATGCATGGAGAAGCGAGAAGCAAACTACAATTGCTAGACTCGATACCGAAGTTATGTGAAATTACACGGCCTAGGCAACTTCTCTAGCAGTTTCGATATGGAGGCATCAAGGACGTAAAACTTATTTGTGATAATCAAGTCGCTCATGGATCTAATTCGGTCTTTCATAAACGAGACAAATACACGTAATTCCTGTAATCCTATGATAGCCACAAGAATAATATGTCATCTATCTGAATATCTTGAATTTATTTGTTAATGGGATTTAAAGTGTTGTCCAACAATGGTATCTGTCTATCAGCTACAAAGAAAAGGTGAAAAGCAATTTCTTCTTCTTTTACTCGAGGCAGCAATCCAAGCATTGAATCACTACTGTTTGCCCAAAAAAAGACATAAGAAAAAAGGATAGCCTGAAGTGAATAGAAACCATGTTAAGCATGAGGCTCACGAATCACGATAAATATGATGAGAAGCCTTCTGCCAGTTGTATTGTAGAAACCTACAGAATTCAAAAGCTACTAGCACACGGGCGGCAAGGATCCAAAACCCGCCTGGATAAGATGTAAAGGGTTATCTAGATGGACCCACACCAATATCAAGCGTTATCTTATTTCTCGAATATAACATCTCTTAACACTATCATCTGCAGTATTCACTCATGATTTCTCATTATTAATAGAGTTAAATGCCTTTAGTTCTACTGATTAAAAAACAATGCAGTTAGTCCTTGTAAATTGGGTGATGTTTGTTTTTAGTTTTTTTAATATATATATTCTTTCCCTTTGGCCTTTAATTTATGAAACTTTAACTGAAAATATGCTTTAAATGTGGTTTTTGTTCTTAAAAAAAAGACCTTCTCCTGTTTTATTTATACAAATAAGGAATAAATATGACATTTTTAAATTTGACCATAAAGACAGTTTTATTTTTATTTTTAAGAGATTAAAATAGGACGTTATCTATTGGTTAATGGAATAAGATTTTGAGGATTATTATTCAAAAAATGAAATAAGAGATATAGTCTTTTTCTTAAATGGTCATGTTATTAATTCATATATATTAAACATTATCATAATATTTTTTTTAAGAGTTTTATTTTTTTACGAGATATTTTAAGGCTTTTTTTAAAAGCTTTTTATTTAATTAGATTTTTATTTATCATAATTAGTTATAAGTTACGTTTTAATATTCTAAAATAAATTATGAATAAATAAAATAATCTTGTATTATAACACTTCCTTCGTTTTTTTTTCATTGTCATTTAAGGTTATACACAAGAATTAAGAAAATGATTGATATTTTAGTTTTTTAAAGTATTTATTACCTATTTTCCTATTATACCCTTTAGGTAGTTGGAGAAGAAATAGGTACATTGGAAAATGAATAAATACATTATTCAGTAGACATACATTAATTATCAAGGGTAAAAATGAAAAAGAAAATTAATAAGTCATTGGTTTTAGAAAAATGACAATAAAAAAAAATACTGATAAAATGACTATGAAAAAAAAACGAAGAGAATATAAATTATTTATCATAAATTTAAAATATAATAACTAGTAAAATTCAGTTACTTAAAAAGATAAATGATTTTGATTTTAAAGTAAAATGAAGCAAAAGGGTCCAAATGAAAAATGAAAATCAAAACGGCTACCAAAAGAGTTATTCCTTTTATATATGACTATTATAATAAAGGTATTTTGTGTTTCTGTGAATTATTTTTAAAAATGATAAATAATAAAAATTATATAATAGTGGATGGTTATTTTGTTAGACGGATGTGAATCCTACTCAAGTAGCTTATGAGGTCAAAGGTTTAGGATTTAGGGTTTTAAGTACTCAAGTAGCATATAAGTTTTAACAAAAGCATTGTATAGACATCCAAATATTTCATCTCAGAATAATTTACACAAGTCAGTAATTAGATAGGTCCCACCTCATCCTCATATATTGAAACTTAACTGTGATGAAGCAATTTCTAATAACTCTCTGACTTCTAGTGGTGGTGTATTGAGAGACAGTAATGAAACTTTCATACTAATAATTTTTGAAATGATTAGGAGTTGCTCTATTGTACAAGCTGAACTTTAAGCTATTTTTCATGGACTATATATTATCAAGGATTAATTCTTACATTCTCACATTATAATAGAATCTAATTCTTCTATTGTTGTTCAATTCTTGAATGATGGGTGTTCCTGAATACATCTATGTTACTCTCTTCTCTACTAGATTGTCGGGATTTCAAGAGATTTTTTTGAATTAGATTGTGTACATGTCCTCTGAGAAGCAAAACAAGTAGCTAATAATTTTGCTAAGTTAGGATTAATTCTCTCTGAGGGAGTGCATTGTTTAATTCCTTGTCAAGTTGGGTACATTTTTTATTACTTGCTGATAGTTCTACTATTTTTTTTTCCTTGTGAATTCTAGTTTATTGTTGGGCTTTTAAGCCCCCTTATTAAGCCAAAAAAAAAATTATAAGGTGATTACTTATAAAATGAGAAAAGTTTAGAAAATAAAATTTATGTGAATGGATTAGAAGAAGTTATAAAAGAGTAAAATGGTTCAAGAAATGTGTACACAACAAGGACTTATCACCTTTATTATTATTATAAATATAAATTATATATGATCAATGAAAATAAGACACTTCATATCTCGCTATAAATAATAAAGAAATAAAATAAAAATGAAAAAAGTAAAAAAATGTGCAATTAAATTTGAGAAATGAGATAGTTAATCAAATTAGTTAAAAGATAAAAAGCTTAAAAAAATTGTGGATACCAAAATAAAGTATCGCTTTTATTAATGTTATAGATATAGATTTTGAGAGAATATTTTTTTCAAAATTAATAGACTAAAAATTAATTTAAATGTGGTGTAAAAAAAAATAATTTAAATGTAACGGATAAAAACAAACTTAATCCAAATTTAAAAGACTTAAAAAAAAAGTCTCTCTTCAAATAATATAAATGAAAAAGGGAAAATTATTAGAACAATAACCATACTATATTAAGAAGAAGAAAAAATCAACATAATTGTATCATATTTGCCAGCTAAATAAGAAGAAAAAGATTCATATTTTTCCATCCAGATAACAAATGAGAGAAAAAAGAAACAAAAGAAAATTTTATTTTCCCCTCTAATTTTCCACCATTCTTCATTCCCAACCATATATTATCCTGAACAAAAGCGCCAGATTTTCTATCAGCATCGGATCACATGCTGAAACACAGCAGAGTGGCGAGTCATATTGTATGTGGCACACTGCGAGTGACTGAGTGAGCAGAGAACTAAGCGAGATGGGGTTCGTGGCGAGTTCCTTCTGCTCCCTCTACAAATTCCCATCTTCTTCTAATGGGCCCACACCCAAGGCCAAGTTCCGAGCTCCCACAACGTCCTGTTTGGGCCACCACGACCCAATCTGCAACAAAAGAACCTTTCTTTTAACCACCATCGCCCTTCTTCCATTTCGCCGCTTAAAGAGGGCTCCAGCTCTTGAACCTCCACCCTCAAGTAACTTTTCTTTTTTTTTTTTTTATTTTTTTCTCATTTTCATGCTTCACACAGATTTGCTCTAATCTTTTTTATTAATAGAGGATTTAAATGAACATGATGCTTACATGTGTTAAACGTGGATAATAGTTATTTAGGATAACGCATGCGTCAGGGGTCACTAGCATTCAAGATAATGCTTAGTGTTAAATGTGGATTTCAAGTGTTTGAATCACTTCCTAGATTTACACGCTTTCTGTTTTGGTCATCATTTTTAAGTTTTAATAAAACAGTGATGCAATTGGTAAGAAAATTATGTCTAATGTGCAGGACTATATAGAAGAGAATGAAATGAGATGAGTATGTAATACATGTTCTCTTTTTATTCGGCGCTTAATTTTCAGAAAAAAGTTTCAGAACTTGTTTCCGTACATGCGCAACAGAATGGTTTTAGGTTTCAAGTTGTGAATAATTGAATATGCATTTTGCTTTTTTTTTTCTTTTTTTTTTTGTATGTAGGATATTATAAGATATAGAATTTTCCATTCTTTTACTCTAGGATGAAAAATAAATGGATACTTAGAAACTTCCTTAGGTAAGTTCTTACTGATTTGCTACTTTTTGCTTGTGACATGTTCTGCATCACCAGACTGATTTGTTAATTTAAAAGGGATGGCTGATTATTTTACATCCATTCATTTGTCAAAAGGAGCTCCATACATATACCAAATGATGTATATGCATGCATCATTTGTCCCTTGCTTTATTTGCTTATATTTTTATTATTCATGTCTCGTGGGGTGTGCCCTCTACACCCCCAGGGAAAATTGAATTTTACGGGCCTCAGGTGTGCTGCATTTTATTTTCCATGTCCTTGTCTTAAGTTTGGGAAGTGGATGATAATTTATTACCCTTTTTAAATGTTTAGTAAAGCATAACAGTCTTATTTTCTGTAGTAACTTGTGTAATTATTCATTCTCCTTGCAGCAGAAGTAACTGAGGTGAAGACACGAGAGGATGATCAGGAAGCCGAGGTTTGTCTTCTGTTAAGATTAGATACCAATGTTGAATGGTAAATTTTGCTTATAATATTTGTGCTTTGGATGTTTAGTGTGTTTTAAACTTTGTAGCTTCTATGGACAGACAGCACCTGAAGTGGACAAACCATCAAATTCCCCTCTGCCTCTCCTGAATGGAATTGGAATATTTTCTTCTGGTGTGTTGGGTGCTCTCTATACACTTGCTCAGAAAGAAAAGGCCTCTGCTATTGCAACGATCGAAACAGTAAGCTAATTTTCCCTTTTATGATTCTTGAAAAGTGTGTTGACCTTTGAGAAATGTATGTGTCACTTCCAAACAAAGTCGTACAATAAAAAGGGAAATGATGCAGTATTCTTCTCCTTCTTCTGCTACTAAAGGAGCGAAAGTGATTAGTTGCTTTCCATTTAATTTTGATTAAAAAAATTCTTCTAAAAATCATTTTTTGAGTATTTGTTTATTAAACTTTAAGCAGTGTATTTTACTGGTCAATGTGTACAGATGAGCATTAAACTGAAGGAAAAAGAAGAATTGATTGTTTCCTTGAAGAAGAACTATGAGTTTAAGTTACTGAACAAGCAGGAGGAACAAGCCAAGCTACTTGAAAAGGCAAAGGAAGAGCAACAGGCATTGATAAATGAACTAAATTCTGCAAAAAGTACTATCAACCGCTTGGAACAGGAGCTTAAAAACGAGAGAAATTTGATTGAGGACCTGAAACTTCAAATTGACAGACTTGAAACTGAGCTTTCAAAGACTGATACAGATAAGAAGGATCTTGAAAACAATTTGAAAGAAAAGATAGATTCCATTGGAATTTTAGAGGAAAGAATCAGTCAGTTGAGTGTGATCCTCAAGGACAAAGAAGATTTAGTTCAGAATCTCAATTCATCCCTCGCAAAAAAGGAGTTGGAATTGAAGAGTTTGAATTCTACCTATATGCAAACCAAGGATGACTTATCCAATGTTCGGTTGCAGATTCAAGGGTTGAAAGAGGAAATACTGAAAAGCCAAGAGGAACTAAAAACAAAAGATTCCCAGGTTATAGAACTAAATTCAAGAGTGAGTTCCTTAACTCTTGAGAACAATGATTTTAGGAGTAAATATGATGCCATGGAGAAGGAATACAATGACCTGAAGGTCACTGCTGAAAAGAAGGCTGCTTTGGACTCTAAGGTTTTAAGAGAAAAAGAAGAGGAGTTTCATCAGCTAAAGGATCAGTTTGAACTTGCCCTAAGTGAAGCAAGCAAAAACCAGATCACCATTGCTAATTTATCTCAAGAAAGAGATGATTTGAAGGAAGCTCTAGAGAATGAATCTGGCAAAGTGAATCACTTGAAGTATGAACTCCTAGTCACTCAAGAGAATCTTGAAAAATCAAGAGATGGGTCTACTGAATTGGAAAACCTTCTAAATGAGTCAAACAAACTGCGCAAAGAGCTTGAACTTGAGGTCTCTAAGCTTTCATCTGAGTTCACTGAAGTTAAAGTATCTCTACAGAGAAGCCTTGATGATGCAAAACATGAGGCAGAAATGCTAGCAAATGATCTTACAACTGCAAAGGAACAATTGAAGAAAGCACAAGCAGAGTTCCAAAGTAAGTCCCAAGAACTGACAGCTGCTCTTGAAAAGTGTGATAGCCTACAAAAAGAATTAATTGACGTTTACAAAAAGGCTGAAACCACAGCAGAGGATTTGAAGAAAGAAAAACAGTTAGTTGCTTCTTTGAACAAAGATTTACAAGCTTTGGAGAAGCAAGTCTCAGTAGACAAGGACTCCAGAAAATCTCTTGAGATGGACCTGGAGGAGGCTACCAAATCACTAGACGAAATGAATGGAAACGCGCTGATCCTTGCTGATGAACTAGGGAGAGCTAATTCTCTTATTTCTAGCCTTGAAAAAGAGAAAGAGGTGCTTTCTAAGTCCCTAATAGACCAAAGAAATGCAAACAAAAAGGCCCAGGACAACATTGAAGATGCTCATAACCTCATCATGAAACTTGGCAAAGAAAGAGAGAATTTAGAAAATAAAGGGAAGAGATTGGAGGAGGAATTGGCTTCTGCCAAGGGTGAAATATTGCGCTTGAAGAGTCGAATCAGTTCTTCAAAAGTTGTGGTTAACAATGAGCAAGTGCAGAAAGATGAAGGTCTAAACAAGGTCAATTCTTCAAACGTTGCTGATAACAATAAGCAAGTGCAGAAAGATGAAGGTGTAAACAAGGCCAATTCTTCAAAAGTTGGTGCTAACAATGAGCAAGTGCAGAAAGATGAAGGTGAAAACAAGGTCACTGTAAATGCACGGAGGACTGTCAGAAGAAAAAAGGCTAATCCGCAATAATAACACAGAAAGTAGAGAGATTTCTATTAAAAATTTCCGATTAGGAGGATAATGATATTCTGTAATAAAATATTTGGAAGCCAGTTGGTGTTGAACTATTTTCAATTTGGCATGCAAAATTTTCCATGTTGCAATAGTGTTGTACAAATGAAATGACACTGTAGGAATTGTTAAGCTTAGCTTTTAGGAGAGTTGATTTCTGATAGTTTTCATATTAAACCTAAACGGTGAGAATATTAACCAAAGTCTGTGCAACATTAAACACTGGTGTATATACACTACAGTTACTTTTCCTTGTCTATCAACTTATCAAGCAAATCAACAAACTTTCCACTGCCCTTTTTGATGAAATTGTGTACCATTGGTGATTTGGTTAACACTGCCACCTCTAATCTCTTTTATTTGCCGAAAAATGTCAGTAACATGCTACTTGATATTACAAACTTAGTGGTCTTTTTATTAAATGAACTCCACTTAAAATCTTGTGATTTTTTAATAATTTTAACTAATAATATAGAAATGTTAAAATTAATATGTTAAAAAACACCATTCTTATGTCTCATTTCTCAGAGTCAGAGGTCTTTTATCTATTCAGTTAATGTTAAAAAGATCATTGATAGCAACATGTGGCAGAGTTGAAATCTTGTTATTCCAAATACGTAATGAACCATTGCTTGTTCTCGTAACCATAAAGGTAATGTAAACTTAAAGCAGTTATATTTTTATTTTCCAAAAAAAAAATGGAAAGCAGACAAATTAACAATATTGTGTTACATCTATTTTGGCAATTCTTCTCAGTAACCTATATTAAAATCCTGTAATGTATCTTTTCTATGTTTATTGGCTTGGATACTAATGAAGTAATTAGAAATGTGCTTAACCTGCATTTACGGCTAAAAAACATGTGAAATAAGTAGTCTAGCTGTACGCCTAAGCCTGAAGGTGAAGGAAAATTTGTACAACAGCACTACATATTATAAGAGTCCTGTGAACAAACCTCTGAGACACTTTTTTTAATTAGTTAAAATTTATTAAAAACTATAAAATCATGAAAAATAACCATTAAATAAATGTAGGACCCACAAAATGTCATTTTTAAATAACTTTAACTAATTAAAAAGAGTATATTTGAAAGAGTGTGTCACTGTTTTTTTAACATTTCTCTGATTGTAAACCAAGTTCCATATTACGGGCTTGCATGCATTTCACATTAGGTGCTTGTTAACCAACTGCAACAAACCTGAAATTTTGCAGGAAGACACGTAGGAGGACAAATCACAATTTAGCTACCAGGATAATTGAACATCAGTGTGGCTTTTGTTTTCTAACGGAACAAAGGGTAGTATCTTCTATGAATTTTATATTATATTTCCAAAAAACTTTTATTTAAATATAGAAACGATTAAATAAAGATTGCATTAAAAATTCCTGAATTCATTGAAAAATCATCAAAATCATTTTCACGCTTTGTTTCCTCGATAAAAATATCCTTAAAAGGAACCATCTTAAAATGAGAAAAATCAAACAAGACCCTCAAGGCTCCTGTTTTAACGAAAGTTTTTGATTGGTTACTCATGGTATTGATACCTCTCTCCATCCCTTTCTTTGCTCTCTTTAAAAAATCTCATTTGCAATCCCAGAAAATCTGCCATTCTACAAATATTCTCAGACTCTGGGTGTGACTTATCCCCAGAGGAGAAACCATGCAAATACAAGGAATCAACATTAGCAACATCCACCCAACTAAATCCCACTTCCTTCTTTACTCCCCTCCCTCTCATCCCTCTTCGCACTTCAGCAACTTTCTCCCACTTCCCTTTCTCAGCATATAAGTTTGCCATCAATACATATGGACCTGAACTTGCAGGATCCATTTCTATCAAACTACCAACAACCTTCTCAGCCATCTCCATATTCCCATGTAATCTACAAGACCCAAGAAAACTTTGCAACACCGACAATCCAGGTCCTCCGGGAATCTGGTGCATCAACTCTTCAGCCTCATCTAGTCGTCTGGCACGGCCCAACATGTCCACCATAATAGAATAATGCTCAGCGGTTGGCTCAATTGAATGTTTTTTCACCATAGAGTCAAAGACTTGATGGCCAGCATCAACCATGCCCTTTCTACAACATGCAGCCAAAACAGAAAGAAAAGTGATGGAGTCAGGACTGTTTCCTTCCCTCTCCATTTCTGTATACAAACTCATCACTGACTCGTAGTCTCCATGGCGGGCATAGGCGGATATTATTGCTGTCCAAGCAAACTGGGTTCTTTCATGTGTTTCGTTGAACACCCTTTGAGACTCAATTATGTCTCCACGCTTGCCATACATGTCAAGAAGGGCCCCTGAAACAATTGGGTCAGTGCTTAAACCAAGTTTGAGCAAGTGAGAATGGCAACGTTGCCCATGTTTCAATGATATATCCTCAGCAGCAGCAATAGCATTTAAGACACTACCAAATGTGTATTGATTGGGCTTCATCTCCTTTACTGCAGACAAAAATGTAAGGAAAGCTTCGTTATACAATCCATTTTGAGCATACCCTGAAATTAATGCATTCCATGATATTGTTTCTCGATAGTTGAGCTCCTCAAAAATCTTCAATGATTCTTGAACACACCCAAACTTGGCATACATGGTAATAAGGCTATTGAAGACACTTTGTTCTGATAAAAACCAGCTTTTTATACATAACCCATGAATCAATAGACCTTCTGTCTCTAAATTCCTGATTGTTATAGCATGTATTAATCCTATAAATGTAACATCATTTGGATAGACACCATCCATTCTCATTGCATTAAAGAGAGACATTGCATCTTCTTCGTCAATAGAAATCATTGTTGTCCAAGATACAACATTCCGATTACTAATGAGCTGAAAAACAACTTTTGCATCTTTAGGCACCTCACATTTTGAATAAGTTGACATCAAAACATTGCAAACCGAAACATGTGTTCCATATCCCACTTTTTGGGCCAAACCATGTATCTGCCTCCCTAGCTCTAAGTTTTTTGTATAACCACAAGCTGAAACTGCACCTGTAAGCGAAACATGGTCAAGCAACATACCTTGTCTTATCATGTTGACAAACAATAAAACCGCTTCCAGCCCATAACATTCCCCCTCTTGAGCATACCCCGAAATCATCGCATTCCACGAAACCAAATCTCTTCGAGGCATTTCATCAAACACTCTCCTAGCCTCCTCTAACATCCCCCACCTCGAGTACATTGTTACAAGCGCATTCCCTATAAAAACTTCACAACCAAATCCACATTTAATCACAAGAGAATGCAATTGCCACCCAAATGAAAACCCATGAACACCCGAACAAAATGCAAGAGCAGTGGTGTATGTCACCGGATCAAAAAGTATCCCACGTAAATGCATAGAACGTGCAAAATTCAAGGCATCCACACTCTCCTCAAACCCCGAAAGCACAGTATTCCAAGACACTATGTCAGGATAACTCACATTCTCAAACACAAGCAAGGCCTTCCCAAAATTCCCAGACTTGCAGTACATTTTCATGAGCGAATTCGACACCATTACAGACAAAATAAACCCAGTGGACACCGCGAATCCGTGGATCTGACAGCCGAGTTTGAACTCACCTTGACATGCCTTGAGGGACAAGGCAACGGAAACCTCATCAACGTTTTGAAGAGAATGCAATTGGAAGTGGTTCTTGAATGCGGAAAGAGCTTGAAAGGGAAGACGGGTGTGCAAATGGTTGAGCATGGAGCGGTTAAGTGAGGCAGCATTTGGGTGGGGAATATGGTCGAACAGGTTGTGTTCATGTTTGGATGCATGGAAGAGTTTGGAGGCATGTTTGAAGAATAGTTGTATGGGTGGCTTACAAGACATTTTGAGAAGATTCTCCTTCGACAACATTTGTGAATTCTCCTCCGGTCTCGACCTGGGTTATCTCCTTCCGATGTTGCCGGTATCCGATCTCGTCGTTGCGTTTGACATGGCGTTGAAGCTTTCCGCGGAATGCGCCATGAGAGGGTCGCCATATATTTGGAAGGCGTCGCCGTGGGTCAGTGTTTTTTTAACATTTCTCTGATTGTAAACAAAGTCCATAATAGGGGCTTGGATGCATTTCACGTTAGGTACTTGTAAACCTGAAATTTTGCATGAAGACCAACCATGGATAGTTAAACATCTCAGTTGCATTGAATGTGTTAGTAGATGACAGATTATTTTATCAATATCATTTGATTCTACCAATTCAAGTTACGGAAAATTTAGTTTGATGCGCAAATTTTAGCTTAAAAAATACAATTGTGAAATTGTGATTAAATACGTAATAGTATCGACTAAAAATAAACAATCAGATGCTAAAAAATCACATGATAGAAAATAAAGTAATAAATTAAGAGTTTTAAATCTTGATTTTGCTTCTTCTTTTTCTTTTTTTTTAGCTCCTTGTAACAAAACAAAAATAAAAGGACAGAGGAAGTTATCTGTCGATTTTTTTTTTTAAAAAAGTGATTATTTTCTGAAAACAATTTAAGAGTAATGTTATATCCTTCTACAAATCTTCTAACTACGTGGTAAATAACTTATTAAATGAAAAAAAAAATAGTTTTAATGTCTTGAAAATATACAATGTATTAATAATTACTGTATAAAAAAGTAGCGAGGATTTTAATTATTCATGTTCAAAATAAGCACGATGTGTAGTAGGCTACAAAATTGAAATAAAAGTCTTTCCAACTAAAACAAGCTGAGATTTGAGCTTTTGTTCTTGTGAGTTGCAGCAATTATTACATGTAAAATCAATTTTGGTTTGCAAGTATTTATTAACCTGATCTAAAAGAACTTTAATTTTGTAAAACCAATTTTGATTAAGTGAGGCATGTTTGAAAACATTTTATCATAAGGTAGATAAGACTTAATATTAAATTCTCAACTAAATGCAAAAACTTTAGTCCTACCCACCAAGTTGCTTGATTGTCTGTTTAGAATTCATTTCAATAATCTTTTCAGTTATTATTTAAACATTGTTCAATAAATTCATTTTAATAAATTTTCATGTAACATATTAAAATAAATTAAATATCAGAATAATCTTTTCGGTTATTATTTAAACATTGTTCAATAAATTCATTTTAATAAATTTTCATGTAACATATTAAAATAAATTAAATATCAGAATAATCTTTTCGGTTATTATTTAAACATTGTTCAATAAATTCATTTTAATAAATTTTCATATAACATGTTAAAATGAATTAAATATCAGGAATCCCTTTTTAAGGAGTGAATTTTCATTCTTGAAATCTAGAGAAGTCATTTTAGAAGCTTATGGTTTTAGTGACTTGAATTGCAAGACAACAGGATAAATATTTCACTGATCACGATAAACATTTCATAGACATTGAGAAAGTGAAATGTAAATAACATAATAGGTGATAGAAGAGAGAGAAATGAATAGTGTTAATTAGATATATACACTGTACAAATATCAATTAATAATTACTCTAAAAGAATTGCTCACGGCACAGGGTTAAAAAATCTGACAGATGTTGGCCACAAGCAGGTTTGGACGCATTTCTTCATACCTGCTCTGCTGGCTGTATAAATTGATACGATTTACTCCTGATCCTAGGCGCTCACTATCTTCTTTCTAAACTCCAAGAGACAAATTCTTCGAGAAGTTGGAATTTCTGACAAAAAGCTATGTTGAACAAAATTTGCATCTTTTCCCGAAATTCTTTTGCATCTTCCTTACACCTAAATGAGCCTGCACATGCACATTGCTCGGACAAATGTGCAGCTTTCACCTGATTGCATTTATTACAAAGCAGATCTTGGACTTGGTATAACCTTTCTCTTTGTCTCGCAACCTGAAGAAGAGTATTTTCCATCACGTCGCGGTCATAAGGCTGGCCACACTGTGGCACCGCACAACGCCATTCCTCAGTTAATAAAGCAGTGTCACGGCACAAATCCAAGTCTCTGCAGTCATTACAATAGCTGTACCCGAAAATGAAAAATTAATACATGTAAATATAAGAGTTTATGCTCTTTTCTATTTTTGGACCATGATTAACATTGTTGGATCCAACATTTAGAGACAACGGAAATTTCATCTGTATTAATCAATATTAATGCAGATGCTAGCAAATTCCAGTGCACACAAATACTATGTATAGGAAATCAAATCTTGCAAACAAATGCCTTGAGAGATGTGGTTAAGGTGCAACAATCAATTGCATTGTGTTGGAAGAAACGACACAATGCCAAAAAGACCCTTTTTATTTCTAATTTCAAATGGATTATCTTGAGCAAAGAAATTTACATAAACCACAAACGTGGGCCCATAAAAAAATTAATAGTCACTGACATTATAAGAAACAGGCAATTTCTTTTATTAAACGAAATTTAGTAGTTGGTAACCAATTAACAACTGTGAACACTTGAGGCATAGTTAAACTTGAGCAAGAAATCATTTGCCCTCCAAGAACGAAGACTTAACTCCTAAAATTACTTGCCAATCAAAATCTTTTTTTTTTTTACCTGCATACGACATCGGGTAAGATGAAATAATGACAAGGTTTGTGAAACTCAGCTTCTGGAGCAAACTCCCTGACATCAATATATTTGAGCAAAACCTTTTTCATAACCTGCAAATGATGGACACAATCAGACTGCCATTCAAGCAAGGAAAGAAATATATAAATCTGATATTAGAGCTGATGCATTTAATAAGGAAATATCTCAGTCTCGTATTATAAGTATTCCTACGTGAGACCATCCTACAGAAGTGCCACAAGTATATAATATTAGCAATAGTACAATACTACTGCTTTAGTAATGTCAATAAACTTGAGAAAACAAGTAGAAAAATGATATCAACGCGCTGTGCAACACATTCTTTATTACTAGTCCATTCTTATTATAAGATACTTGCTTTAAAATTGTTACCTATTATGTGACAATTAAATTGACCTTATAGAAAACAACCAATAACAGTGTGTTAAAAGAGTGCTGCTAGCATTGCTCAAACATTTATTACCAAAACTTCATGTTGCACACTTTGGTCCATGAACAGTACAACACAGACAAGCTTGACAAATTCCAAGGCAGCATCCCCTCTATGGACATCAGCCATAAATTGAGGAAGGCCAGATGATATACTCTGGTTGTTCTCTGATCTGCTCATCCCCTTCATGTGAAGACCAATATCGTGAACAATTTCTAGCAGTTTGGGTGTAAAGTAAGAGCTAATCTGTGGAATAGAATGCAAAACAAAATAAGAATCAACTAATATTTACAAGAAATTAATATTTAATTCCTTTTGTTGTCATTATTATACCTGCCCTTTGATATATTCTGTTATTTCTGATTCAAAAGCCTCTGCAGCCCCAATGTTAATTGATGGGGTACAGGAGTCTTCATTCTGCAATGAGGTCCTGATTGCTGCTAGTTTTTGTGCATAATTCCAGGGAATATACATGAATTGAGAAACGATGTAAACAAAACGGTCCTGTAGATAGCCATTTTATGAAAAAGTTAGACATGAAGAATACACATCAGTTCCTGTATTAAATGACAGATCTTTCAAATTTAAAATCTAATAAATTAATCTTTACATAGTAAAAATCCCTTGTTTTCAGCACCTCCATACTCGAGCTAAAATTCTTGTTAGTGAACTTACTTGGACTTCTTTTGGCAAGTATTCGGCAATATTCCAGTTAGATATAATGCCTACTCGAGACTCATCATCCATGCCTTCATCAGATTTTGCTGGTATTCCACCATAGTTATACTACAAGCAGAAAATCACAATGACTAAGCAATATATGATTACATGATGATTTGGAGTAATATCGGACAGGTGAAATGATTGCAGGACTGCAAAACTATAACTACTTCAATGAACGTTAAAAATACATTAAATTTCCAGAGTTGTATGTTACAAAAGAATGTTCACAAGTAATTTGATCATTCATCACTTGGCCACCATCATTAGGCATTTGATATCAAAACAAGATATCCTAAACTAGAAATAAGTACTGGAAGAGATTTAAAATATTTACGACATCTATCACCATTATAAAATCTTATAATAGTTTTCATTAATCAAGAATATTTCCTTTTTTCCTTGATGAAAAATTAGTCAAGACACCGTATTACCCATTTTGGCATCAGAATTAAAATCTTGCCTTTAAAAGAGATATTTCACATATAGTCTCAACAACTCCACAGTCTATATTATATCAACAACTTTCTCAATAATTATAAGAAAAAATATTTATTTTCTTCACATTTGTAAACTTCCATAGTTCAATTATATTTTTATTTTTCTAACCAACCATTCAGAATTATCATTATCAAATATGCCAGCCAGACCTGTACTAATTTATTATTATTTTTTAGTGACAAACAAGCCCCCAGGCCATTCACAATTGCTTCAGAGACAATCTGAAAAAACAACCTAAATATTAGCTAGCAACCAACAACTAAAAACAGTGAGGGCAACTAACAACAAAAATCATGATGACCAAACCTGATCCAAGAATAGCAACGAGCACCAGAACTGCAGTGGTTCAAGCTCAACCCATTCAAATAGATCTCTACAAAATAAGCAATAGAGGGTCACAGAGCAAGAAGCATCAGTTTAATGTCAATTAAGTTGAATTTGACAAAACAAGAAAAAAAAAAGACTCACGTGACTGATTCTTTCACACAACTTATGATATTCAGTTGATAATTGTAAATTGTTTGTTCTTAAATGAAGCTGGACAAAAGCTTCCAACTTTTGTTATCTTCGGTTGAAATATCCCAATGATAGAAAGAATTTTCATTTTTATATAATAAAAAATACTTTTATGGCTTTTGCAGGACTAACCTAGATTGTATAGTTCTTAACAAACTGTCAGAATAAGCCCTGGCTCTAGGCAGATCACATTTCCCGGTGTCTATGATAATCTTTGAGAAGTTTGCAAACACAATTGTAGCACCTAACTTGCGGAACTCTGCCAACAACAATGCAAAGACCTTTTGCATGACCTATAAATATCAATGCAATCAAAAGACATGAGTGATATTCAATTAAGAGATTTTAATTCAAATATTTAAATCACAATAAAATGGACTAAACAGAGCCAACAAACTTAAATCCAAAATCATGGAAAACCCACTAAAC